TGAGCACTGCTGAGGAGTCCCATATTAGGACGAAACGGCCGTCTAGTGCTTCCAGGTTTTCCATGGTGGTCTAACTTCAATTGAATCATGATTTCAATCAGTGAAATGATTTTGTTTAGATTTACATATTTATTTGTTGAAACAATTTAATATCAAGAATGTTAGTTAATTATCAAGCCCATTTGATGTTATAGTGACTATTAACTTACTATTAACAAGCGTTATAATTGACATTTAGAATGATTTGAAAACTAAATGTTGAGATTAAATAAGGAAAATACTATTTTCAAGTAGACTAAAACTTAGCATTTGAATTCATGAGTCGATCTCATCTGGACCATCATTGAAAATGTGTAGGCGTTTGACGGCTATTTTATCCTAGTATAGGGTTCCTAAGCAGTGTGTATCTGAGATCCCGCACTTAGAACTCGGACAGAAGACCTTCAGTCACGTGCGCAGACAATTAATCTCTGGACCACATAGCCAGCATTTCTAATTTGGATGGTATTTCTAAGAGACAATTCACGTCAGCTAAACGATTCCATCATCCTTCAAGAGTTTGACCATATTACTATATTATATCATTGACGACCTTAATATCTGAGACTATTTGAAAGAATGACAGGAATAATCTGTTCACAATTCAAGTTAGAGACCTTCAGAAACTAGTAGTTCAGTGGAAAACCTATTAAAGTTCTAAGGGAAGTATATCGAATTCAACTCCAAGTGTAAACAATGACTTATAAATATATCAATGTGATGAGTCTCAAAGAGGATGGAATAGAGCGCTTGAATACATTTATTTGTGATTATCCCTCTTTATTAAATACTGAGGTTTATTTTACATAATCAAGCACAGTTAAAATGTTCACAGTATTGAATAGAACTACCCTGGGAGTTAGAAGGTCTTCATTTAGAAGAGTTATGACGCCTCATTGTGAAAACTGAATTCCTTTGGAAGTCACAAAGCTGATGTCCCTTCTGACAACCAGAACAAGCATTAATTTAGATATATGGAATTGATCCTCAATGTCAAAGGAAAATAGGAAGACTAAAGAACACATTAAGCAGAGAAATGGAGACAGACATGAGAAGAATAAACATCCATTGGATAGAAGTAGAAAGGAAGGTCCAGGATAGAGTGAATGATTTGGAGAATGCGTGTCAGCAGCCTATTCTCCATTAAGAGTAACAGGCGTAAGTAAATAAGTAAGTCATCAAAAAACGAGACATGACATTAGATATACTTATAAAACTGGATCATTTCAATAGAATTTCAGGTAAACTGTAAATTTGTTAAAGATAAACTTCAAGCGTGAGCTTCAGAATCTAGTTAAATCATCCTAGAACATTCCTGGTACATTCAGTTAATCAATCAATCAATCAGAAAACAAGATAATGTGAATAGTTATTCTAGGATTATGATTTAGGATAAGAACTCCAATTAAGGAAGAATGTTTACATCATAAACTAACATCAACTTCTGTTCATATGGTTAAAAACCATTACTTACATTATAGGTGTTGTTAGTTGATAATGGAAACCATGATTCAATTTAAACATTGTAAGTGATGGAATTTTGTCAAGGTCACATAAAGAACCATTCATCATAACGTCTATTCTAAGACGTTTTTCTAGGTCAAGATATTCATAAGACTGTCAATGAACAATAATTTCTCTAGGAGATCTCTTATTTCACCAGGTTTGGATGACATACCGTCTTGTTAAGTGTTTAGTACGTACATTATTAGATCCGCTTTTATAGGTCAGCTTTAACCTAACTTCTTACTATCATATTCTAATAATTGTCGTCTAGCATAATACTTAGATAAAGTGATATTCTCCTATAAATTACAGGAGGATTTATTTATATAAAGAAATAGCTAGTCGAATATCCGACGCTTTTATCAGGTTGCTGAATACAGAGAATCCATCTAGGAGAGTTAAAAAATCCTGATTCCAAATCAATGATGTACATTTGCTCCGGTATCCTGAAAGAACAAATAGTATATAAGCCAATTGTTGTTCACATTGGCTACCTTTAGGTTAAAGGTTCCAAGTGTGACCCCCTTAAGAAAACTATCGTACTTCAGTTTAGGCATCCGACTAGTATCCCAGCCCTATTTGGTGTTTAAGTGTTTAAATAAATCAATAGCTATTCGAAGAAGAAGAAGAACAACAACAACAACAACACTACAATCTTACCATATTTATCACATTCTAAAAATGCTGGATTACGAAATCCTATATCTTCTATTGTTGTTGTTGTTGTTGTTGGTGGTGGTGGTGGTGGTGCTGCTGATGGTAATGATGATGTATGTACATTATGTAAATTCATATAATCATAATCTTCTCCATAATCAATAAATCGTACACTATCTCTTAAACCAAGTGTACGTGGACATATAGCACCATTATGATTATGATTATTATTATTATTATAAGATGATGATGAAGAAGATGATGATGATGATGATGATAAATGACTAATATCTTGACTATTTCTTAATTTATGAGAACCTAATAAACGTTGACAAATGTCTAATTCATATATACATACACATAATGTACACATATATATATATTATTAAAGAGATAAGATAAACAAGCATATGATTACATAACAGTTCAGTGACCATATTAGTTACCAATGATTACATCACAATCATTATCATGATTACAGTGTTAGTTTGTTATTGTTTTGATTAGTCCAAAACAATGATTACATTTATAAACAAGTACAAATCACATGTAACAATAGTATATCCGATTAGTTGAATAGAATGCATGCATACATGCAAGCAATTCAATGACATCATAAGTATGTATTGTTTTGTTTATGTTTAACCACAAAAAAACAAAAAAAAAACAAAAAAAAAGAGACAAAAATAGAGAAAAGAAATGGAGAGAGAGAGAGAGAAAGAAAGAAAGAAAAAAGAAAGAATCATTTATTAACAAACAGTAGATAAATAAATCAATCAATAATTTCATTGTGTTACTAGGATACAAGTTAAACAAATTCGATTATTCTATCCAGTAATTTAACGAGACTACTAACTATCACTAGAGGGAATGATGGATAGTGGTTAGCAGTGAAATCCAGGATGCGCATCACTTCATCCTATTTGGGACTCGTCAGCTGAGCGTACCTGAATCTGAGTTGATGTTCACTCTGGGACTCGAACCCAGTACCATTCGCTTCAAATGCCATCGCGTTATCCATTCAGATACAAGCCAAGCAATATCAAGTGAATTTAATTTCACCCGATTGCACAAGCATGTGGCTATGAGGACCAAGTGGCTGAGTGAATAATGTGACGGCGTTTGAAGCGATTGATACTGGGTTCGAGTCCCAGAGTGAACATCAACTTTGTAGATGTAGGTACATCCAGCTGACGAGTCCTGAATAGGACGGAGTGACGTGCGTCCTCGATTCCACTGCTAACCGCTATTCATCTTTGCTTACAAAAAAAGGCTTGTGAATTAAGGCAGCATCAAGGCATACACACAGTATGCACATATGCAAATAACAGACTGATCAATTGCAGTCTTAAACCTCAATGGGAAGATACAAGCCAAACAATACCAAGTGTATTGGTTTAGGGGTTGTGAAGATGAGTAAGTTATTGATTGAGATCATGAACTGACTGAGGTTAGACCACCATTGAATTCTCAGAGTTCTAATGAGAAGCCGTAACAAGTGGAGATAATCCGTGTCGGGTAGACATAGGTATGTACTTCAGTACAATGGAAGATGGTCGCGCAATTTCGTGGATTGGTTGAGGTAAGACATTAATACCGTTGGATACCGACCGGCCTGGTGGTCTAGAAGTTAAGCGTTCGCGCGCTAGACTGAAGGCCCTGGATTTGAACCTCGTGAGTGGGAACGTCAATGCCCACTGCCACGATGGAGTCCCACAATAGGACGAAATGGCCGTCTAGTGTTTCCAGGTTTTCAATGGTGATGTAACATCAATCGGTTAATGTTCTCAATCAGATACTACTAAAATTGAATTTAAGTAATATCATGTCAGTAATGTTATTGTCAAATAAAGAGAAGATTTATAAATTCATCAATATTCTAATTACAATATGCATCACGATGAAGATTATGTAAATAAACATTAAGTAAATTACCTCTTATGTAATAGTAATGTGAAGAAGAGCAAAGAATACATTACGTAGACAAATGGAGATAGACATGAGAACATTCATTGGATAGAACTAGAAAGGAAAGGCCAGTATAGAGTGGGTTGGAGAATACTGATCGGCGACCTATACTCCATTGGGGTTTATAGGCGTAACTAAGTAACTAAAGGTACACCTAACAAATGACTAGATTAACCAAGTTTCCATTCATATGGTTAATGTTTTTATGAATAGTATTAGAAATAATTGGTCACATTGAATAGAATAAAGTATTCAAACATGAATCTTATACCTGAACTATTATATCAGTCAGTAACTAACAGAATCTTTAACTTCACCTAGAAATAATCACTTATATCCGTTGGAGACTATAATTTATGAACGAACCAGTTACATTGAGAATAACAGATCTCTGATTTTGACACTGAATTCATTCATCGTTTTGTTTGCTGAGCTAGATGTGATTTGGTTGTGAAACTTTCATTGTTCTTCTAAACAACATCATTAGCACACATTTCAGAGAACAAAACTTCATCAAAATCATTCACTTGATGATAGCTGATATCAGTTCGTCATGAAAACCTGAAATCGAATTGTTAACATTAATCATCAATTATAAATCATAATCCTTATTCATGATTCAGGTTCATAACTCTCAGTTGATCCTGGTTATTAGGGTGAACACTCTCAAGGTCGCTTTAGTGCCACTCAGTGATCGTTCATAAATTATAAGTTCACCGATCTTGATTGATTACCCAATGTGGGGAATACACATTTTGCGGAGGGGGGGGATTCTATATTATAAAAATGTAATACTTTATATATATATATGTATATAACATGAATCTTACCAGCGCCTTCTAGCCTTTTTTCCGGCATTAATTTCGCTTGAAATTCTTTACTTAAATAAAGTGGATGATAAAAATCACCAACTAATGCTTTAATCACTTTGCCAACATCACGTAATGCCACTTTCGATGTCTAATGATTAAAAAAAGATAGAATAATATAAAGAAGAAAGAAGCAAAACAAAAAGAAAAACAAACAAAGAAAAAAATCAATAAAGGGAATAACTAGTTAACTAGCTAACTAACTAACAACTGCAATATACTGCTGAAAAGATACTACTAACTAAATGAATACATCATTCAATTTATTGTCTTCATGCTAAATGACAACATTGAAGCAAAGTTATATCATCATCATCATCATCATTGAACAACATTAACATGCAACCACAACAGCAATAACATATATTGAAAAGAATATTTGAAACATACAAATGTGATTAAGTTTCTAAATCTATGTATTAATATCATGAACCGATCAAAGTTAGCTACCAGTTGGGACCTAAAAATACTGGACAATCTTTTTGTCCTAATATGAGATCTGTCAGTAGCATGAATCCATGAACCCACAATGAAGGGATTCGAACTTAGAACCTCCGATTGCACTCACAAATGATTAAACCTCTAGTTTCATTAGTGTTTAGTGACTAGCTTTGAGAAATGATTTCAGAAGTTCTAGTAGGAAACTGTAACCAGAAGAGTTCAACGATGATGGATGAAATTAATGGAAGATGGACGTACATTATTATAGGTTAGTTGAAATTAGACAATAATGTTGTTAGATGCAAACTAAGTGGTCTACAGGTTAAGAGTTTGCTTACGAAATCGAATGTTTTAAGTTTGAGTCCGTTCGATGTGAGATCGTGGAATCGCAATGTTGACGAGTTGTGAACTAAGACGAAATGGCCGTCTAATGCTTCGAGATTATTACTGGTGGTCCAAACTATTGTATACCTTAAGATTCTTTAATTGTGCATGTTCATTCAACAATATAAAGAATGAACTCATCATAAAAAAGATGGAATTAATTAAGTCACCGTTCGCGCACGAAATTGAAGGTCCTGAGTTCGAATTCCGTGTGCAGGATCGTACATAAGTACTACTAAGGAGTTCCATACTAACACGAAACAGCCGTCCAATACTTCCAGGTTTTCCATGGTTGTCTAGCTTTAATCGACCAATGAATTTAACTATTCAATTAGTGAAATCTCCACAAAACCCTCTCCTAATTAGAATTATTCAAAAGTTAAATATATTTCTAGATTTTTTTGTAAGCAATGATGGATAGTGGCAAGCAGTGGAATCCAGGACGCGCGTCACTTCGTCCTATTTGGGAATCGTCAATCGGGTGTACCTGCATCTCAGGGAGTTGGTGTTCACTCTGCGACACGAACCCAATACCATTCGCTTCAAACGTTATCGCGTTATCCACTCAGCTACTGAGTCCTGATAGCTACATGCTTGTGCAATGTGGTGAATTTAAATTCACACAGTATCCACATATGCCCAAAACAGACTGATCAATTGCAGTCTTAAACCTCAATCGGAAGATACAAGCCAAACAATACTAAGTGAATATTTCTAGATTCTTTTAATTTTTCTCTATTCAGAGACCTGGTCAGTTAACAAAATAATCGTTTCATTCTTTCTTAACGTAACTAAGTTTTATTGAAACACTAATTAGAAGTAGCCTAACAAGAAGAAGATTAATCGATAACAATTAGGAGTGAACTGAAGGACAAATGTATTTCATTAGCCAAGGGATTGATGAATTTCTTGAGGATTAGACTGGTATATTTATATAGACGAATATTTGTCCAATATATTCGGTAGCGTAATATGCTTTCTCACTCACATTAGTGTTCTCACTCAAGTGTTGTTAGTTGGATGGAGGGGGTTAGAGTGCAGTACACCATGTATCCAATATCGATTTTTCACCACCACATGTCATAATAAAATGTGTTAAAAACACATTGATACTAATCATTTACTATAAAAACCATAGTAATTTTCATTTCCCTGTCCAGTTAAACATTAAATAATTTAATAACAAACATAATGTACAATGAAGTAGGTGTCTTTTTTCACATTTTAAGATTCAATAGTTGAATTCATGAGTCGATTATACCTAAACCACCATTGAAAACCTGAAAGTACTGGATGGCCTTTTCATTATAGTATAGGACTCCTCAGCTGTGCGCATCCATGATCCCGCCACAGGAGATTCGAAACGATGCTCGAACGCTTAACTTATAGACCACTAAGCCGGCACACAACGGTGTTATTGTCTAACTTGAATCAAATCACGAAATTGAGCGACACATCCATCATTGTCTTCAGTGAGACATTATCTCATAACAAACACAGTTGAACTCTACTGATCACGTCTACTCACTAGAACTCCAGAAAATACCGCTTGGAGCCGGTCACTAGTGAGCATACATTGAATGATATGAGAAAGGGGGAGGGTTTGTGGAGATCGTAGTAATTCAATGGTTGAATTCAAGATTATCAAATATACTTTTGGTTAAATGACACAAGAAAGCACAGATAGATACAATGTATTGAATTGTGTACACTAATTATTGTGCATAAATGCATTAATGAGTACAAATAGCCATGCTTATATATATATATAACATACACGATTGGTGAATCAACTGATATATTATAAATTTCGATAGAGTAATGAGAAGATGGAGTTCATCTGATCATCTGATCAGATGAAGCATCATCAATACGATGAATATCTGTATAGATAGTAAGACTATAATTTATAGACAAACCAATCAGATTGAAGATAGCAAATCTTGAATTTTAGCGCGAAATTCATTCATTCATTCATTCATTTGACTAAATACTATTTTAACATTATAGCTAATGTCAATTCATAATGAAAAATCCTAAATCTAATTCCTAATCATCCTAATTTCTCCCATTAATTTCTAACGTTCATTCAACATTAGTAAATAGGTCGACATTCCAAGGTCATGTTAACGTTCCTCCAAGGTCGTCCATGAACTGTGCTCTCATCATATACATCCCTATATATATATATATTACTGATCGGATAACATTACTATCTAATCAATAATGAATATATCTCTACAATAGTCTAAACAGATCTTAATCAGATCTACAATTTAATAAAGAATTCAATAGTCTACATTCTAAACATTCATTCATAGCACATGCATTGACTTTAATATTACAATGATAAATATTTACACAAACAGATATTATAGAAAGAAAAATCAATAATTGATAATTGGTAAACATACTACTATCAATCAATACTACTTATACTACTACTATTACTACTGTTACTACTACTACTACCATTACTATTACTACTATTACTACGTGTATTACTCTTCTGTTACCTTGTGTTCTTTGGATACAGTTCTGCCTAGTTTCTAAAATATATTCATTATCGAATAAATTTATAATAGAAAGGTTTGTAGTATAAAATAAAGCAAAAGAAAGAAAAGTTACCTTACCGTAACAGTTCACATGGCAATGAAATACGAAATGTATAATTGAGTAGGGATCAAATGATTCTTTTAATTGATTTCTAATGAATCAAGGATTGATGTTAATGAAACCGTCAATAAGAATTAAAAGTTACTAGATACACTTCAACAGTGTACATTTCTGAATCTATCGAAGATTAAGATTCAAGTTTGAATAGTCTATTTGAGTAGAACTAGAAGTGTGATAAAATGTCAGTCTTAATTTCCTTACTTTTATTCATAAGGTACTTATCAGTATAGGGTTGTGGAGATTAATTTGTTATTGATTGAGATCATGAACCGATTAATGTTAAACCGCCATTGAAAACCTGGAAGCTGTAAGCAGTAGAGATAATCCGTGTCGGGTAGTTACAGGTATCTACCTCAGTACAATGGAAGATGGTCGCGCAATCTCGTGGTTTTGTTGAGGTAAGACATTAACACTGTTAGATAGCGGCCGGTTCAGTGGTCTAGTTGGTTGAACGTTCTGGCGCAAGACTTAAGGCCCTGGGTTGGAACCTCGCGAGCGGGATCGTGAGTGCTCACTGCTGAGGAGTCTCACAATAGGACGAAATGGCCGTCTAGTACTTTCAGGTTTTCAATGGTGATCTAACACCAATCGGTTCGTGAATAATTTAACAATTATAAGCAAAGATGGATTGTGGCTAGCAGTGATAACCCAGAAGCGCATTTCGTCCTATTTAGGAATTGTCAGCCGGATGTATCTATATCCTAGAGTTAATGTTCACTCCGTGAACATCTATCTATTAAATTTTTAAGAGAAGTAGACTGATCACGAAACAACCTTAACTAAACAATGATTTAAAACCCGGAATTACTGAATAGTATAGGGCTTTTCAGTAATATCTATCCAAGACCCTACCAGAAATCGAACGAAATACTTCAAGATTTTACTTCACTAGCGGTTAATTTTGAGAGGTAATTCCAGTTGTTCTATTGAAAAGTCATGATCTATGAAGTTCCTTCATACCAAGCATCAAGCACTTATTCACTGAAAACAAAGGAAGCTAGTTACATAACATGAAGGATTAATTGAAATTACACCTGTAAACTATTGGATACCGACTTAGTATTCCAGGAGTTAAAGACTCACGGTGAAAACATAAAGCTCTGAGTTAAATTACTTTTGATTTTTTGGATACTCACTGCTGGAGAGTTCCATACTATTGTAGTGTCCTAGTGATCTGTTAAGCCGACAGAGGTTATTCTAGCTTTTGGAAAAGCCAGTTTATCCATTCTTCTCAAGCTACATTTTCACCTTGATAATTATTCACTTATCAACCCTGATTGTTTTTAAATGAGCATATGTATGTATACACTTCTTATCACATTCATCACATGTCTGTAGATTATTTTTGTATGACTATAAATATTGATTAACGCTTGATCAAATGGAATTGGCTCACACGCCTTCTTCACTGAGATTCTCTGATTGTCTCTTCCGATCAACGATTGTACAAAATATACGTATTCGAAATCCATTCTTGTATTCGACTTATTTAATTCCTTTATTCATTAAAGCGATTTAAGTTGATAATTACATACGAGGATTGACGAAATGTATATTTCACTAACAATCATCATACGATCTAAACGGAGTCAGATCTTTGGCCACTAAAGTGGTGAACCCGTCGACAACATCGTGTGGTTCAACTGACGTCAAAATGAAGTCAATTGATAAAGTAATGAAACTTCATCAGTTGAGATGGCTGGGACATATGTTACGTATACCCAACCACCGACTGCCCCGACAAGCGATGTTTTATGGTGTAGGAGTACGTTGAAAGAAAATTAGGGGCGGCCAAACCATGAAGTGATTGACAAGTGGACTGAGTCATGTTGGTAGGTGTAGACTACCTGGTTGGGATCCGCGAGACGATAGCAACCGATGGTTAGAGACCTTGAATGCTATGGCTCAAAATCGTTTGCAGTGATGTGTGCAGGTGTATCCACTACTTGTGTTCTCCCACATTCTAATCTTCTGAATGCTTCATGTCCCTTCCTTTTTCTCTTTCCAAATTTATTTCACTCGATTATACTCTTTGAACAACATCTTCAAACCTTAATCTTTCCGCATAGTATACACATATGCCAATAAGAGCACTAGTTCCCTTAAGATTACAGGTACACCTTACTGACGAGTGCCAAATAGCACGAAACCCCGGTCCACGGTTTCTTGTCGACTAACTCCAACCACCATCTTATCTCAACATAATACACGCAATGTCGAGTCATTTAGAGTAGTGGGTCATATTGTAACTTATTCGATAGCATTCGATCTATACTAATAAGGAATCGACACATGATATTGATCACCCACCATCTAGTGATCAATCAGTTGTGATTGATTTCTTATTTTAGACCAAATAATATGGGACCTTAGTTCCTAGATTCTAAACAAGTTATATGTCACTTAAAGAAAATTAATTAAAATTCCATCATGTTCAATAGAGTTTTTTTGTCAACGAAACAATCTCTTTGATCTATTTTAATAAGCCATTTTATTTGTTGTTACCTTAGATAATGTAAGCAAAGATCGAAAGTGGCTAACAATCGAACCTAGTTTGATGTGTGTTTCGTCCTATTTGGAACTCTTCAGATGAATGTTTAATGCGCATACTAGAGTTGGTGTTCATTTACGGACACGAACCCAACACCGTTCACTTCAAAGGTTATCGCTTTATCCACTTAGCTACTGAGTGCTGATAGCCACTTGCTTGTACAATGCCGTGAAATTTACATTGACTTAGTATTGTTGACTTAAATCTTCTCAGTATTATTAAGAACTACAATTAATCAGTTTCTTATTGGCATCTATGCATCCTGTGACGATTTCCTCCATATTGTCCTAATTCACAAACATTCTAAGTGAATATGGATAGTGGATGATTGATAAGCCCCAAATAGGACGAAACGCTCTTCAAACTGTTTTCCACTTTTAGCTATTATTCATCTGTGCTTACAATCTTAGATTTTGGCACGAAACTTATTCAGTTATTTAGCTAAATACCATTTTTTCTCTTTTAACATTATAGCTCATATCAGTTCATATTGAGAACTGTAAATCTAATTCCTCACCTTAATCAATCAGTCAGTAACAACGTAGAACCTCATATGTACGTACGTATTTACATACATCAGTTCGAGTTGCCATACCACATTACCACAAAGATACAATTATCGATTCAAATCCCATAGTGGTAGAGGTAGTAAGAATATAAACAGTAATCGGAAACATTAAGATTTGGAGATGTTATTCAAGGAATATATATATAAAGGACATAAAGCATTCAAAAGATAAGAATGTCGAAGAACACAAAGAGTGAATATATCTGCACACACCATCGTAAAACAATTTTGAGCTTTAATAATCAATTATATAATTCTAATCTTAATCTTTAACTCCTCATTTAACCTTTTTGTAAATATCCACCAGAAAAAAAAATCATTCATAAATTATACTGTTACCATGGCAACTATAAAAAAATTAAAAAAATATATATATGATGAACTTACTCGATGTGATCGATTATATTCCCACATTTTATTGAATATTGCTACTTTGGAATTCTAAAATTTATTTTTTTTATTTTTTTTTAAAAGTAATTAAGTAATAAAATAAGAAATTACCAAATTTTTTAATTGATCTGTATATAATTTTTCTAACATATAAATAGTTAGAAAATCTTCTAAACTAAAACCTTGTTCTAAGAATAATTTAACAAAATCATGTCGATCACTCATTAATGCTTGATACATATAATCATTTAATTGACCTTTCTAGAAAAAGAAAAGAAAAGAAAAGAGAAGAAAAAAGAGAAGAAAAAAGAGAAAAGTCATCAAAAGTAAATATGTATGCGATATCACTGAAATCATGAAATCATGAGTCAATTGAAGCTAGACCAGCATGGAAAGCCTGAAGGCACTGGACGGCCGTTTCATCCTAGTATGGGATTCCTCAGCAGTGCATAAACACGATCCCGCCCCTCCCCGCGAGATGCGAACCCAGGACTTATCAGTCTCGCTTACTCACTTACTTACTTACTTACTTACTTATTTACGCCTGTTACTCCTCGTGAAGAAGCATAGGCCACTCATCAGCATTCTCCATCCAACCCTGTCCTGGGTAATCCTTTCCAGCTTCTTTCAGTTCCTATTGACCCTTTTCATATTGTTATGACCTTGGATGGCTTTTACCCCGTGATACTTGTTATGACTTGATCTTGAGGCGCTAGGCTGAGTGGCTTAACCTTGAGTTTAATACGCGTGAGTTCGATTGGGGTAGAGAGAACTATTCTAAATCCTGATTGGTTGGCAAGCACGCGAGTGAAAGAAGACAAGACAGTTGGAACACTAACTCTGAATTCTCTGAATTCGGATTACTACAAACATGTACATGAATAAATAAGTGCATATCTTGACCACGACGTACAATAATTTGGAAAAATACAGTTATGCCCGAAACAGGGAATTAGGGTAGAAAATATAGTGCAAAATATAATGTTTAAATTACAATATTTTTGGAACAAAAAAGGGTATGCTAGTGAATGATACATAGAACGAAAGCTCGTGTTATGTAGAATTAGATAAGGACAAAAATAAATATAAGTGTTTTACAGGTTTTGAATGAAATGCAATAACGTCCCAAGAAAATAGCTTTCGTAATTGTCTGGGCTTCTTAATTCCCCATTCGTAACACATATCTGCTTCTATTTCCCAAAGTAATGTGTTCTTTAGGCTTCCTCTTTTACGCTTCCCTTCAGGATTCCGTGTTAGGGCTTGCCACTTCATGTAGTTTGATGATTTCCGTAAAGTATGTCTTATCCATTTCCATCGTCTTTTCCTAATTTCTTCTTCAGATGGAAGCTGGTTTGTTCTCACTCACAAAAAGCTGTTGCTGATGGTATCCTGCCAATGTATGTTGAATATCTTGCGTAGACAACTATTTATAAACACTTGTACCTCCTTGATGATGGTTGTGCTAGTTCTCTAAGTTTCAGCTCCGTACAGTAGAACTGCCTTGGCGTTGGTATTGAAGATTGTGACAATGATATTGGTTGAAAGTTATTTTGAGTTCCATATGTTCTTCAATTGTAGGAGTGTGGTCCTTTCTTTGCCAATCCTCGCCTTTATATCTGCATCAGATTCTCCTTGTTCATCGATGATGCTTTCCAGGTATGTGAAGGACTCTAAATCTTCCAGAGTTTTGCCATCAAGAGTGATTGGATCACTCTCGCGCCAGGCGCTCAACCAACTAGACCACTGAGCCGGCCGACATGCAACGGTGTTAATGTCTAACTTCAATCAATCCACGAGGAGTCCCATACTAGGAAGAAATGGCTGTCTAGTGCTTCCAGGTTTTTCATGGTGGTCTAGCTTCAACTGACTCATGATTTTAATTAGTGAAATTTGTAAAATCTCCACAAAACCCACTCTGATTATATATGTAATAGTTGAAGTTATGAATTGATTGAAACTAGATCACCATTGGAAACCTGGAAGTGTTAGATGGTTGTTCTGTTGTAGTATGACAATCGTCAACAGTGAGTATCCATCATCCTACACTAAAAGAATTCGAATCTAGGACGTATCGAACTCGAGTGCGAACTCGCTTACTTCCTTCCTTTTCAGCACTACTATTCCATACATGCTTAGCATACTTGTAAATTTGGATATCTGTGTGTTGGTTGTGCAATAATAAACATAATCACCTTCTGATTAAAACACCGTTGTGGACATTATCTATTGATGGTTATCAAGACGAACTATATACGAAGTTGAAGATCGACCACCTTTAATATCATCCTGTTAGGTCCCGATAAACATAATGAATGGTAACTGTGGGATCCTTTTTATGGACCAATACTAAACGTATATTTTTATCGTATAATTGTTTAATAACTAAACTATTCATGTTCATATTCTTCTTATTATAAACTTTATTTTGACCCATGAACCATTATTTTACGATTTACCATTCTTGAATTATCCCCTGTCTATTAAGTACTACCTCCCTCACTCATAGCCACATTTAGCTAGATCTTGTACAAATGTTATTTTTTATTTTATGGTACGATGTAGTCTGTCTGGTTGGTATATAAACCCAGTATGTTTGAACTATAAGAATTCATATTGCAGAGGCTGAGATTGGCGTTCTGAACATAACTGGCTGGGCTAGGCACGAAGCAGGACGGATAAGTACTCTAGACAGCTTGCACGTGTTTTACGCGTCATTGTTCCGATCGATAAGTCACTACTCCCTAATTGGCGGTCATTAGTTATAAAACATCCAGAATGGATTATTCTTAAAGATATTTTCACTGAAATCAATAGAATTCACTTAATCACTAATATATATATGACCAATATACAAAACAACATCTATTCATCAACCATCAAACATAGATGTTCGATCAATAAAAACAAAATAATAATTAAGTATATTAACCAACTAGAAAGTAAGATAGTGATTAATTGATTAATAGATTGATTGATCGATTTATTGATCAATTTATTGATCGATCGATTACATCATCATTAATATAATAAAGATCATAAAAAAAATGGGATTGATTCAATGAAACTCATTTACTTACTTTCCATTTTTTATTTTCTAAAAATATTTTTTCACGTGCAATATCAGCACGATTTAATGTTAAAGTAATTTCTAATTGTTCTAAATTAATTTGATCTGATGTAACCGTGGTACCAGCTATAGAAAGGAATAATGAAATGAAAAAGACAAAAAAGAAAAAACGGAATGATTCTGTGATATCTTGATGAGAATAATGAATAGGAATTGTTGGGATCTATTTCTGTACTAATATGATACATTTACTCTTGATCTATAATTATTGAGTAACTAGATTATGTATATCTATATCCATCTTATTGTAAGCTTTATTTTGATCTATTGATTATTATGATACGATTTACCATTCTTGAATTATGCCTGGTCTATCAATTACAGTCTTCCATATTCACAGCCACTTCTTACTGACTGACGCCTGTTACTCCTAATGGAGAAAAGGCCGCCGATCAGCATTCTTCAACCAACTCACTCTATCCTGGGCCTTCTCTCATAGATCTATCTAATAGTTGTTCATTTTTTTCTCATGTCTGTCTCGATTTCTCGGCGTAATGCGTTCTTCTTTGATCTTCCTCTTCTCCTTTGGTCATGAGGATTTCGTGTGGAAACTTGTCTTGTTACGCAGTTTGTTGATTTCCTCAATGTGTGTCCTATCCACTTCCAGCGCTTCGTCCTGATTTCATCCTCCACTGGTTTGTTCTCTCCTACTGTAGGTTGTTGGTGATAGTGTCTGACCAACGGATCCGAAGTAATTCGCTTATGGCTTTCGTAGTTCTCCAGGTTTCTGGCCCATACAGTAAAACTGTCTTGACATTTGTATTGAAAATTCTGACCTTGGTGTTGGTTGACAGACAGTTGTTTTGAGTTCCAGATGTTCTTTAGTTGTAAATATGCTGCTCTTGCACTGCCGATCCTTGCCTTCACATCTGCATCAGATCCTCTATGTTCATAAATGATGCTGTCCAAATATGTACAGGGTTTTACATCTTCCAGACCTTCTCCGTCAATTGTGAGTGGATTGGTTCATGCTGTGTTGTATCGGAGAATCTTGCTTTTCCGTTCGTGTATATTGAAACCTACTGCTGCTGAGACTGCTACTACACTGGTCGTCTTCTTCATTTGTTGTTGCGTTTGCGATAGAAGGGCCACTTCTGGCTAGATCTATTTTATGATACTATGTGATCTGTTTGGTTTGTACATAAACCAAGTATATTTGTAATACATTATTCATATCCCGGATACTGAGATTAGTGTTCTGGATTTAATAGGCAGACCTAGGCAGGAAGAAGGATCGATATGTTGTGTAGACTTCTCGTACGGGTTTTAGGAGTCATTGGTTCGTTCGATAATTCACTGTTCTCTAATTGACGGTATCATTATGTTATACATTAAGAGGGCATACAGGTCACAAGTTATAACAGATGTAACAAGACTAATAGGAAGTTTTAATTTGTGATGAAACGTTTGTTTATTATTCACTTATGGCTTATATAATCAAGGATTCTTTTAAATATAAATGAATACTAAACAAACTCTTTATTCTACTTTAAGAATTATAAGGAAAGATTGATAGTGGTTAGTAATGAAATTCAGGAGGCGCGTTTCAATTTATTTCGGATTCATCAGAGGAATGTACTTGTATACCAGAGTTGACGTTCAACGTGGGACACAATATATAGCGATCAAACGTTTGAAACATCTTATTTGTTTATCAGAAATAAACAGTTCTCTATGACCTTAATAACCCTGTTGGAATGTTCGCTACATCATGATACATATATTCACCTCTATTTACCTTCGTATTTATAAGTATTTCAATTTCTATGACAACTTAGATTTGATCGGTTTGTAAGCAGCTGATCAGAACATAATGAATTGAAGTGATGAGTATCAGAAGGGGGTTTTGTGGATGTTATAATAATTTTACCAGTTGAGATCATGAGTCAATTGGAGCTAGATTACTATGGAAAACCTGGAAGCATTAGACGACTGTTTTTTCCTATTATAAGACTCCTCAGCAAAGCGTATCTACGACCGCGCCTCGCAAGATTCAAACCTAAAATCCATCGGCCTCGCGCGCCAACGCCTAACCTCTAGATCACTGAGACCACTGGCATCTACCAGTGTTAATGTCTAACTTCAACTAATCCACCAAATTGAGCGACACATCCATCATTATCTTCAGTGAGTTACTATTTCACAACAGACGTGGTTGAACTCCACTGTTCACTGCTTTTCACTAGAATTTCAGGAAATACCTATTTTAGCCAGTCGCTAGTGAGCATATGTTGATTATTATCAGAGGGTGTTTTTGTGCATATTATAGTAATTTCAATAGTTGAGATCATGTGACCGATAGGTCCTGGGTTCGAATTTTGCGAGGCGGGATCATGGATGTGCTCTGCTGAGGTGTCCTAAACCAAGACGAAACACCCATCCATTGCTTTCAGGTTTTTCATGACGATCTAGCTTCAATTAACTCATGATCTCAGCTATTAGAATTGAAGTGAATTTATATTATTTTTGATTGAGATCATGAACCATTGAATACCTGGAAGCACTAGACGGCCGTTTCGTCCTATTGTGGGACCCCCAAAAGTGCGCATCCACGATCCTGCTCGCGGGACTCCAACCCAGGGCCTTCAGTCTCGCGCGCGAACGCTTAACCCACTGGACCACTTAGCCGGCATCCAATCATGATAGTGTTTAACATCAACTAATCCATGAAATTGCGCGACCATCTTCTGTTGTACTGAGATAGATACCTGTCTCTACCAGACATGGATTCGCTCCACTGGTCACGGCTTTTCACTAGAACTCCGGTAATTCCCTCACGAAGCTATTCACTAGTGAGCACATGAATTCATATTATTTCGTACTGATCTTTGTTTTTATTCTCTTTAAGATAATCAAAGGAAACTATGTATATGAAATGTAATAGTTAACCCAGTCAATCTTTATATGAAGAATCAAATTCAAATGATAAATGAAAACAAACAAACAAGAATTGTTCATTACATAATTTTCTATAAATAACACAATCCATTTTGGATTACGTCATAGTCCTAAGTTATACACAGATACACACACACACATGCACCCAAAAATCCCCCCAACAACTGACGAGTACTACATATGAATATGACAAAAGTATTATCTACCACTATTAACCTACCGAACAATATAGAAAAATACTAATGCTAATGTGCTTTTTGTAACCACCCCCACCCCCCCTCCGTTTACAAAAAAAGAAGAAAAATCCCATATTTCAATGGGAAAAATCTACCATCAAATTGATTTGTTACATCATAAATCATATTGTTTTATAGTTTTAATATTATTTCCCATTCATTTAGTGGTATTGAATACAATCAATAGTAGATTATGGATAAAACTTATTTCATGAGAATTACCATTATCTTATTCATATATATAGAAATGATCCATTATTAATGGGTATTCATGTGGATAAATGTCATTAGATGAATTGAATATACTTTATTACTATAATATCTTTGGTTTTGTGATGCATGCTACTTATATTGATATAAGTAGTATATGACGCAAGTCAGGAATGTAATGTCTGGCAGCAGAAGAAGAGGAAGATCAAGAAAGGAAGAGCGGGAATAGAAAGCAATTAGTATGGAAATGCAAGAACACTGAAGTTCGGGACAATGATTGAACATTTCGCAAATTAAGTATTATAGTATGGTTTTTCTATTTTACTAAGTAACTGTAATTTTGTGCTAAACACAACTCGATGGTCTTCACTTGTGTTCTCTTTTAATACACTTTGTCTATTCCAATACGATAGAGAATTTGATCTATGTTATAGTCATGATACGATTAGATCATTCGATTAACCTTCGTGTTGTTGTTTACTTGTATCTTTCCATTGTTATTTAGGATTGTGGTTAGTCAGTTTCTTATTGACATATGTGCATCCTATGAGGACTGCCTCGATATTTTGTCTTAATTCATAAGTATTCTAAGCATAGATAGATAGTGGCTATCGGTGGAATTCATTTTCACGAGTGACACTTCGTCCCGTTTGGGATTCGTCAGCTTGATATACTTGCATCCCGAAGTTGATGTTCACACCGAAATTCGAACTCACTACCATTCGCAATGACGTTTGAATTGAACATTGACTTTGAGATGCAGGTACGTCCAGCTGATGAGTCCTAAACAGGACGAAACGCTTGTCGAACTGGATTCCACTACTAACCATTATCTATCTATCGTTATAATGTTTGTGTCTTAAGACAATACCGCGGCGATCCTCACATGATACACATATATCAACAAGAGACTGATCACTTGCAGGCCTAAACAACAGTAAGAAGATACAAGTAAATGATACCAGGCATATACTAAAGTTTATTGAACTTTCAACCATACGAAAATTTAAACCCCTTTTGTGTATTTAAAAACAGTTTGTTCTCACCTTAAACCTACCCTGGTAATATTAACTTGTTATCCAGAGTGATGAGGTTTCAAATTGTTTTCACATTACTATTTTCTTTATTATCATTTTCTCCTCTTATCCTTCATTTCTAGTCTGGTAGACCTTTTATTTTTTCATATATAAATGTTCTTAATAAGTATATATGTAATTTGTATAGTTGAATTTACGAGTTAATTGAAGCTACACCATCATGGAAAACCTGGAAGCACTAGACGGTCGTTTCGTTCTGGTACGGTCATGATCGCGCCTCGCAAGATTCGAACCCAGGATTTTTTAATTAATCCAAACCAAATCAGATCTTAAAAGCTTGAATCAATTTTAGCACCCTTTATTGTGAAATATGATGATGTTATCATCAAATAGAAGTCTGTAGATCACCAATGTAGATGGTTTATATCGAATGATTGGGGACCTACTCGAGTTAGACGAGAATAGTGTGACCAACAGCTAACGTTGAAATCACATCTAGCAGTTAGCATCTAACGTGGATTACTCATTCGTCGTATCAAGGTACTATGAATACTTTTAAAATCGTACAACACAAAAGACGTGATTACGGAAATATTTTAGTAAGAATGAGTACAATGAAGATAGTGAGACTACCATAGCATTGGCCAATCCATGGTATACGATTATCTGATGAGCGTTGAATGTCCTTGACTTGGATAGGGGTTGATGATCTATTCGACAATCAGTGACCCAACTAGAGCTCAATGATATTTCACTATCTCTTCAAGTCTACTTTCACAATCGTCATCTCTTTCATTAGGTTAATGAAATACATGAATAAACATAATTAAATAAGAAATGAATTCTATTTACCACTGGCAAGCAATGAAGAGATTACATATCCATCCAAATCAGAATCTTCTTCCATATCAAATACTGATACTAAGTTTGTATAGTCATTGATTATTTCACATAACATATTCACTTCATCTGTATAATTCGTATAATCTGGATGTAAATCACCAAGAAATTCTTCAATGATTGATTCAAGCCTTCAAAGTTAAAAATTTATATAAAATGTTAAATTATTCATTGTTATCAACCGTAATTGTCTAGAGAAACATTGAAGATAGTAAGATCTGAAGGTTGGAATTTATGGATATAATTACTGACTTATTTACTTACGCTTGTCAACCCTCGTGGTGGAGCACAGGTCGCCCACCAACATTCCACATCCAACTCTGTCGTAGGAAATCCTTTCCACTTACTTCCAGTTGTTATTCATTCTTTTCATATATGCTTCCTATTCTCGATGCAGTGTATTGTTTGACCTTCCACTTTTCCGTTTCCCTTCACGATTCCATGTTAGCGATTACATTGTGATGCAGTTTGGCGATTTTTGTAATGTATGTCCTATCCGATTCAAACGTATTTTCCTAATTTCCTCTTCAGATGGAATCTGAATTGTTCTCTCTCACAGTAGTCTGTTTTGATGGTTGCTGATATTGAGTATTTTGTGCAGACAATCTTTCATAAATACTTTTACTTTTTTGATGATGTTTGTGATAGTTCTCCACTTTTCAGCGCCGTAGAGTAGAATGAACTGTCTTGACATTCGTATTGAAGATTGTGACTTTGATATTGGCTGACGATTGTTTTGATTTTCACATGTTCTACAATTGTAGGAATGCGTCCCTTTCTTTGCTAATCCTCAGCTATACATCTGCATCAGATTCTCCTTGTTCATCAATGATGTTTCCCAGGTACGTGAAAGATTCCACAACTTCCAAAGTTTCTCCATCAAGTGTAATTGCATTGGCTTTCTCTCTGTTGTGTTTAGGATGTTGCTTCTTCCCCTGTGTATGTTGAGGCCTACTGTTGCAGAGGCTGTTGTTACACTAGTTGTCTTGATCTGAATTTGTTGGTGTGTATGGGATAGGAGGGTCAGCTCATTTGCGAAGTCCAAATCTTTTAATTGATTCCGAGCTCTTCATTGTATTCCATGCTTCCCTTAAGGTATGGAAGTCTTCATAATCCCGTCGACCACCAAAAGAAAGAGAAATCAAAAGAGTAAGCAGCCTTGTCTGAATCCGATCTTTACTTGGAATGCATCCATCAGCTGTCCTCCATACTAGAAACGGAGAGCTGGTCAATACTTCCAGATTTACAATGCTCCTACAATCCATCGTTTAAAACATCTTTGAATAGAATTGATTATGGAAAGTTATCTGACTTGGAAGTTACCTTAAAATATATACTTATTATGTAGGTATCTGAATAGGGGTAGTTTTGCCTGGGTGTTACTACTTTCCAGAGGACTTACTTGGGTATATTATAAGACGATTGTATGATAACTATTTTTTTAATCATTGACAATGTTTCTGTATGTAAAAAAGATCATCATCATCATCAAAAGTGTGACATTAAGTGGAGAGACCCTGGACGGATGTTTTGGCTTCTTATGACATCCGTCGACCAAGCTCATCTATTACTAAATTCTTGAGTAAGTTCAGAACACTTGTGTCTCTCGGTAATCACAACAACATTATATCATTCAGCTGACTCTGAATAGTCTAGATATCTGAATTCGGTCATTTGTGAAATAGGGTGGTTTTAGGTCGTTTCAATCATCAATTTTTCTCACCATCAATTCATTCGAGTTTATAGGTCACAGATTTTAATTGAACCTTTGTAGAAGGCAATTCTATGCTGACCACCAGGTTCAGTCGTTTTGTCCTACTGGAAACCTCAATAACATTCATTCACAGCCTTGTCAATGATCGAACATAGGGTCTTCTAGGCTATCGTTACTAGCTTAACATCTAAACCACTGAGTTACCTTTCACTGTTGATCTCAGTGATTAAAACGTTATATGTTAACCATTTACTATAAAGGTGTTGTGATCAATCTTTAATGTGGTCGTAAGTTAGTATTACTAACAGTTCCAACATTCAAACAAAAACAGCCGTTCACTTCATTTTGATTTTCAGTGATTGTTTAACCTTTCCAGTAATGGCAACAAGCGTATCTATTTACAATAAAATATTTCAATTAATCATTATAGTCGAAGCTTATTGAATACGCACAAGAGATCATGAATCGATCTGGAAGTATCGAACGAACGTTTCATTCTAGTATAGAACACTTCAGCAATCAATATCCACGATTCCGCAAAATGTAAAAAGAAATGATCACATCCAAGTACTGAAATCAGATTTTATTCTCCACTATTCATTTATGTATGTATTGAAATCGTAATTTTGTAAAACTGGGGTTCGATTTGCATTAGGAAAGACATAACATACATGACACTGATCACTACCCAGTGACCAATCAATTTTAAAACACATCTCGATCATACAGGTGGTCAGTCGCGGCCCGAATAGCCCATATGGTAAAGTCTCTGACTGTGGAGTATCAGTCCCATCAAAATTACAGGTACAAATTGCTGACAAGTGCCTAATAGCAACAAACTCGGATCCAGGGTTGCCTGTCGACTAACTCCAACCACCATCTTATCTCAACATACTGTATGCAATGTCGAGTCACCTAGACTATTGGCCATTTACAACTTGGTCGATAGGATTCGATCTACACGAAAGAACAATCTAACATACATGACATTAATCACCACCCAATGATCAATCAATTGTAAATATACCACTTTATCTTTCTTAATAAATAATGAAAGTTTAAAAGGTCATTAAAAGTCAAAATAGGAATTCTTTTCACCGGTAGATAAGGCAAACTAAAAATTTCATCCAAGTTACATTCTTACCTGATATTAAACACTTAGTTTTAATTATAGTCTCTATGGAATAGATAGAAACAATTGTCAGTCTTATCGTTAGATAATCATTGAACATTAGAAAGTAATGGACAGTTGTTTCCTTCTAGTATAGGAATTATCCGAAGAACATATCTACAATCGTATTGGTAATAGAAAGCAGGACCTTTGGTCTCTAAGTTAGAACTTATTCTTTAGAGAAATGAATTATAATGAATTGATTTATCTATTCTAATAGTTGAGATCATGAATCGATTGAAGCTAGATCATCATGAAAAACCTGTGATTACTAGAAAACCGTTTTGTCCTATTGTGAGACTCCTCAGCAGTGCGCATCCACAACGCCGCCTTATGGGATTCGAACCCAGAACCTATCAGTCTCTCACGCGAGCACTTACCCATTAGTTTATTCAATTTACTATATTCTTTAATCATCTTTCAATTCCCATTGTTGAAAAACTGTTTCATATCATACATTGCTGAATATCACTTTACACATCTCAGTAGAACTTAAGAAATCTCCTTTTCAAATTAACCACTATCCCCCAAATGCCCTGATACAACCGGAAATACAACTGGAAATGCTCTCACATGGCCAGGTGCGCACAACCACTGTTAGGGAAGTTCTACTCACTACATTCTCATGGTGGGGGGGTGGTGTTGTCTACGAAATTAAGAGGATGAAAAGAAAATGTACGGCGCTTTAACCGGGTCGATGGATACGGAGAGTCCACCTAAGGGAGTTGGAAAACCCTGATTCCAAATCAATGGTGTACATGGGTTCCAGTATCCTGAGGTAACATATGGCGTATGAACTTATTGTTGGTCAACGGATACCATGGGACTGTATTTCCTGACGTTGCTCTACTGCCTTGTGGATCAGAATTTTAGGTCAAAGGTTCCGGGTGTGTCCCCCTAAGAAAACCACTTGCTTCGGTTCGGGTACCCGAGTAGTAGATCAGCTCTCATACAAATCAAGTGATTTGTGTGGCGTATTTCTGTTTGGTGCCTCATTGTACTAATGTTTATGTGTTTAAATAAATAAATAAATAAACTAACAACATATGATCATGATCAATGAATGAAGTTCTACACAAACTTTAGAAATTTGCCCAATACTTGCCGAATTATATAATGTTTATCCAACCATAAAAATTCAACGATCTTCACAAGCTCCCTTTCTAATAATATACAATTCACTCAAATTGAAAATCATCCAGTAGAAATTAAACACTGGAAGCTGAGTTTCTGTGTAAACTTTTTCTTGAACCGCTGTATTACTTCGGCTGATGAGCTTAACTTTACTGATGTAGATCAATGAATGATGACGTACAGTAACTGTACTCAACTTTACTATTAATTAGGTATCAAAGCTTTTTGTTGATGTTGATAACGTTTCATAATAATAGGCAGACATGAATAAAACCATTCACCTATTAACATGCTGGATACAGTCCAGTAGATTAAGCGTTCGCGCGCGAGACTGAAGGCTCTGGGTTTGAACCCCGCAAACAGGATCTTGGATGTGCAATTCTGAGGAGTCCCAAAATAGGACGAAACGGCCGTCAAGTGCTTCCAGGTTTTTAACTGTGGTCTAACATCAATCGGTTCATGATCTCAATCAAAAAAATCCACATTGAGTTACCCTCTCATAGGTTTTTGTAAAGTTAGATCTCTCTAATTAACCTATGCTCATTAACTAATTAAACAATGAACTGTTCTAGATGAACATTCCACTATGCACTTATCGATTCATCTATCTCGTTGGATCTAAGATTGATTGGTCAACCGATTCTTATTGTTTACTCATACAAATTATCAGATGCCTTCTGTGAATTATGTTTAGACAATACATAACTATCAATAAAAGAAATATTTAATGTCAATTACCTAGCCTCCAATGGTACTTGATCTTTATCATCAACAACTTCTTCAGATGCCATTTTATTTGCAGCATCTAATCCAAATGCTAATACATCCGCTGCACCAGATGTACCCTGAAACAATAGATTTGAAAAGAAAAAAAAAGAAGATATGCAAAATTAATTAGCGGTGGAATCCAGGACGCGCTACTGAGTTCGAGTCCCAGAGTGAACATCAACTCTGGGATGCAGATACATCCAGCTAACGAGTTCCAAATAGGAAGAAATGTACATCAAACTGGATTCCACTACCAGCCATTAACCATCTTTGCACATAATACTTATTGATAATGTTGTTGTAAAACTGACTTTTACTATGGACTAACGTAGGATGGTAAACTAACGGTTAGAAATTAAAGAATACTGGAAAGTTGATTTGTTACAATGTGTACAATACATGGGACTGAATGCAGAACGTTATAATTTCTTAGCTACCACAACATTACTAAACTAGTGAATCACGATTTAATAGTATGAATATAACAATTCATTTAATTCATGAAGTACGACGATCTTCATACCATGATGTCGATGATATTTATACAAATATTACTATTATTATTATCAGTAGTAGTATCAGTCCTGAAGAGAAGCGAAAAGGAGGAAGACCAAAGAACACATTACATCAGGAAATAGAAGCAGATATGAAAAGAATGAATAACAACTGGAAAGGTTTGGAAAAGATTGGTCAAGACAGGGTTGGATGAAGAGTGCTGATAGGCGGCCTATGCTCTTCCATAAGGAATAACAGGCGTAAGTCAGTAAATAAATAGTATTAATCATAGTAGTGTAGCGAGTGAGAACACAGGCGGTTACAACTATATGTATGTAAATACAAAATTACAAAATCCCCAAGCAAAATCTGAGAACCATCCAATAAATACTTCATTTGCAAAATGTCAATCAATTATCTCAGATTTCATTGTTCCTTCACTCTCTGTTCTCATTCTCTTCTCTACTTCTTAAAATAATGAGTGGACGTGGTAAAGGTGGTAAAGTTCGTAGTAAGGCTAAAACAAGGTCAGCCCGTGCTGGTCTTCAATTCCCTGTTGGTCGTGTACATCGTCTTCTATGCAAGGGCAATTACGCTGAACGAGTTGGTGCTGGTGCTCCAATCTACCTAGCTTCAGTTCTCGAATATCTGGCTGCTGAAGTTTTACAGTTAGCTGGTAATGCTGCTCATTCCACTTTCGATTGATGATATATACTACTTCTATCTGTCAACATCAATAGTACACACCACAGTAGTAATACTAATGGCAGTATTACTAAATCGTTTCAGTGCTTTGATGTTCTTAGTGATTAACTAACTAACATAGTCTGGATCATGATATTATTAAATTTATTTGTATCAAATGTAAAAAAATATGATCCATTTATAAATTTTTTTTCCCTAAAACTTCAACTACCTTTGTAACAACAATTGGACAACGATTTCTTATCATTGAACAATAAACTTGACGTAATGTAAATCGATCACCACCTACAACTAATCCACACATTGGAACTAAAATTTCTTCTTCACTACCAACTGATTTTCCACTTTTTGCTGGTTTAAGACTTGATTCAGTAGTAAGTTTATCTTTTGCTCCACGTGTAACAGATGTAGTTGAAATAGGTTGATTACTAACTATCGGTTCACTTGCACCTTTACTTAAAGCAGAATTACTAGTAGAACCACCGGTTATACCAGAATTTTTACCAATTGATGTTGCACTTGTTTGTGGACCAGATGTTGTACTAACTTGTCCACCCATAGTACTACCTTGTCTTTGTAATCCTACTGAATTTACATTATTATTGATGTTAGATGGTGTAGAAATACCATTTTGAGGTTGTTGCTGTTGTTGTTGTTGTTGTTGTTGTAAATGTGTTGTAGAACTTATAGGTCCACTTTGAGGACTTGTAGCAGTTGTTGTTTGTTCTTGTGGACTACTTGCACAATTCCATAATGATATACATCTTTCAAATCTTGCACGTAATTCAGCTTCTTTACCTTTTAATTGATCAGTTGTTCCATCATCAACTAAAACAAAAAAATTATGATTAGGATCTAAGGCACGTTCTTCAATATCACTACGAATAGATTTTAAACCGCTTTGTGATAATGGATCAATTAAAATTGGTTCACTATCTTCAGCTTCTTCTTCTTCATCTTCTTCAGATTGATACACTGCTGTACCCTAAAATATCAGGAAAAAAAATTGTTGAGATTAATAGAATAAATTGTAGTAACACAAAACGTCATAATTAATTCAGGACCATTAGTCTTGTACATGAACATTTAACCTGTAAACTATTAAGCTAGGGTAAGCAATAATGGATAGTGGCAAGCAGTGGAATCCAGGACGCGCGTCACTTCGTTCTATTTGGGACTCGTCACAGCTGGATGTACCTGCATCTCAAACTTGTTGATGTTCACTCTGTGACTCGAACCCAATACAGTTCGCTTGAAACGCCATCGCGTTATCCACTCAACTACTGAGTCCAGATAGCCACTTGCTTGTGCAATGAGGTGAAACTTAAATTCACTTGGTATTGTTTGGCTTGTTAAGGTAATGTCTAATGATATACAAGTATAACTTTGAAAAATTCACGATATGGAATGACCATCTTCCATTGTCTTTGTTTACTATCTTCCTCATACCTCTACCAGTCATGATGTTCATGTCTGAGATTGAAGGTCCTGTATTGTATTCCTAGTTGTGGGATGATGAATGAGAATGTTTGATGAGTTAATTATTGAAGATAAATGCCCGTCTAGTACTTACAAGTTTTCAGTTGCTAACTAACCAAGATCGGTATGTGGAACGATATGGTTTAACTGGGAGAAGCGAACTTGAACGGTGACAGATTTGTAAATTTATGTGCATTTAAAAAACGGTTATAATTCCCCCCTCACAAACGCATACACAAAGGTACATAAGTCTCACCGAACCACATTACAGAAAACCAGATCGATCATATTTGTATCATGAAAAAAAAATCAGAAGGTCAGTGAAAGATATAAGAACCAAGAAAGGAGTTGATATAGATTGAGATCACCACCTGGTTATGATTATGATGAAACTGAAGCTAAAGAAATACTAGACAACTGATTTAATACAGCATTCCTTCGATATACAGACAACTTCAACGAATTCAACATAACTTTCAACAACAGATTATAAATGTTACAAGATCTACATAAAGAAGAAGCATCTACTATTGAAGATAATTGGAAAGAATTGTTCAAGACATAATTCGATGGAGAATCCTGATAGACAATCTATACATCTCCACGAAAGATAACAAGAGTGAATTCATGTAATTCTAACAATTTCAACATAGCTCTTAACAACAGATTCCAAATGTTACAAGATCTACATAAAGAAGAAGCATCTACTATTGAAGATAATTGGAAAGAATTGTTCAAGACATAATTCGATGGAGAATCCTGATAGACAATCTATACATCTCCACGAAAGATAACAAGAGTGAATTCATGTAATTCTAACAATTTCAACATAGCTCTTAACAACAGATTCCAAATGTTACAAGATCTACATAAAGAAGAAGCATCTACTATTGAAGATAATTGGAAAGAATTGTTCAAGACATAATTCGATGGAGAATCCTGATAGACAATCTATACATCTCCACGAAAGATAACATGAGTGAATTCATGGAATTCTAACCATTTCAACATAGCTCTTAACAACAGATTCTAAATGTTACAAGATCTACATAAAGAAGAAGCATCTACTATTGAAGATAATTGGAAAGAATTGTTCAAGACATAATTCCATGGAGAATCCTGGTAGATAATCTATGCATCTCCACGAAAGATAACAAGAGTGAATTCATGTAATTCTAACCATTTCATATATACATCTCTAGATACCATAATATTAATACATTTAGAAATGAATAAACTGGAAAATATGTAGTTCCATTAAATTACATTAATGAATGAATATCTATGGTGTATAATGATTGACATATTCAATAAAATATTTTGCATTGTTTTGTAGGTTATAAATTGATAGTACTTCCTGTAGAGTTAACTTAATTTAAGCTTGATTTGTCTTTCCTGTAATTGTTTAATGAACTTATCTTTATATATGTATATATGTATGTATGTACAATGTATTCATGATATATCAACAATGTACAGTTCAACTTCTTTCAATACAGTCTATATTTACTATAGATAGTTTACAATTATTGATTAGAAATTCCATTAGTTGAAATCATGAGTCAATTGAATCTAGACCACCATGGAAAACCTGGAAACAATGGACGGCTGTTTTGTCCTAGTATGGGACTCCTCAACAGTGCGCATTCACGATCACGCCCCCCCCCCGCGAGATTCGAACCCAGGAGCTATTAGTCTCGCGCGAGTGCGAATCTCTCGGGAGGGGGGCTGGATCGTGGTTGCGCACTGCTGAGGAGTCCCATACTAGAACAAAACGGCCGTTCAATGCTTCCAGGTTTTCCATGATGGTCTACCTTCAATTGACTCATCATTTCAACTATTGAAATTTCTAAAATCTCCACAAAACCCCTTCTGATTTAGATATTATAACAAGTTATTTCTTTTTGTTTGTTTGTTTGTTTGTTTCAACACATCATTATGTCTATTATTCGTTTATCCTATTCAAGTGTGTTGATCAAATGTTCGTGACTTTTTACTGCACAACTTACAATAAACTACAGTTATCGTCATAGACATTGTGGTGGCCGGCACTCAATATACATTGTAAACAAGGAGCATTATTCAGATGTGGATTAGTGAACTAGTAACATGTAACTAGCAATGGTTGTTACGGAAATATACATGTTGGGTGTTACTAACTTAAATATGCCTGTTACCCTCAATGGAGAATAGGACGCCGATCAACATTCTCCAACCAACTCATTCTGTCCTGTACCTTCCTTTCTAGTTCTATCCAATTGTTGTTCATTTTTCTCATATCTGTCTCTATTTCTCGGCGTAATGTATTCTTCTTCGTTCTCCATCTCCTCCCTTGGCCTTGAGGATTCCAAGTGAGGACTTGCTTTGTGACACAGTTGAGTGCTTTCCTCATTGCTTGTCTTATCCACTTCTAGTGCTTCTTCCTAATTTCATCCTCCACTAGTTTATTCTGGTTTATTCTCTCCCACTGTAGGTTGTTGCAGTCAGTGTCTGGTCAACGGATCTGAAGTATTTCGCGTAGACAACTGTTAATAAACACTTGTATCTTCTGGATGATGGCTTTCGTACTTTTCCAGGTTTCTGCTCCAAACAGCAGAACTGTCTTGATATTTGTATTGAAAATTGTGACCTTGGTGATGGTTGACAGTTGTTTTGATTTCCATATATTCTTCAGTTGTTAAAAAATGCTGCTCTTGCATTGCTGATCCTTGCCTTCAAATCTGCATCAGATCCACTATGTTCGTCAATGATGCTGCTCAGATATGTCGGCAATCTTTGTACATAATTATCGACTTAATCCGCGCTAGTGAGTAGCGGAATTGAAATCAGTCAAATACAAGAATGAAGTTTTGAATACGTATATTTTGTACACTCATTGATCTGAAGAGATAATCAGAGCGATGAAGCGAAGGAACCGAATAGAAAAGAGCGAAGCGTAATGACGCGCAATGGAGAAGACTTGTAACCCAACTCCATTTAATCGAGTGTTAGTCGATATTTATAGCCGAACAAAATTACGTTACAGACATGTAATGAGTAAGGAAATCAATGTATACATATACGCTCATATAAAAACAGTCAAGGTTAATAGGCGAATAATTAACAATGTCAAAATATGATTTAAGAAGAATGAATAACTTGACATGTACGGAGGCCAGAATATGCTACTTGGGCTTAACATAGTAACCGACAACTACAAGATGGACTATCTTCAATTCCTTCAACGTCTAAGCATGTAGTGTAATCATAATTCATGAATACTGAGTAAATAATCAACAAGGCGATTGTTCAGTATCGCTACAATATTTCAATATTTTTCATCAGGATCAATGAAGAATTTATTTAAACACACAAACTTAAGTAAAAGAAGACGCTGAATAGATATGCGCCACATAAATCATTCAATTTGTGTGAGGGCTGGGTTACTGTTTTGATGACCAGACTGAAACAGGTGGTATCCTTAGGGAGCCACACCCGGAGCCTTTAACCTAATCCACGGTCTACAGTCTAATCCACAAGACAGTGGAGCAACGTAAGGAGATGCAGTCCCATGGTTGCCGGTTACAAACGATTGATTCATACATCATATGTTATCTCAGGATACTGGAGCTCATGTGCACCATTGATTTGGAATCAAGGTTTTCCATCTTCCTTTGGTGGATTCTCCATATCCACCAACCCGGTTAAAGTGCTGGACATCCGCTTTCTGTCCTCTCAGTTTTCGTAAACAACAATCATGTCGCGAGAAGGCAGTCAGTAGAACTTCCCAAATAGTGGTTGTATGCACATGGCCATGTGAGAGCATCTCGTGAGGGAGAGCTGACTCTCAACATTCTTGGCTATATTAGGGCATTTGAGGGCTATCCAGATATGAACAACAAAGGATCTGTGATACACAGTCATGCCATTTAAGAACAATAACGACTGATAAGAATCCTGAGATAGACCTCTATTAGTAAGTTCTTACCTCTTAACACGGTGGATATTGATAGTCACTAACACAATACACTCATCTCCATGTTGACTCTCGCACATTACTGTGATATATGAACAATAACAATTCTCATACTGGAGTCTATTCTAAATGTCCTGTCGTTAGATAGCTAACGTCTATCATTATCCAGAAGAAATGTATACAGTGATAAATAATCATGAAAATACAATGAGAACTGAAAGAACATTCATTGAATTCATTTACCTCATGTAAAGCTGCTTCAAGTATTTCATTTTTCGTAACACAATCCCAACTTGCTACACCAAATGCCATCATTCGATTTCCACCATATGCATCTGTATAATCACGTACAGCTTCACCAGTTAACTTCATTACTCCTAAATGAAAACCACCTGTTACAATCCAACAACCTATTGAGAATAAGATACAAATAGAAAAGACATTTTAATAGGATGAATCGGCGAATTGTATATACTGACTTTGAAATACTGTTCATCAGTACTTTATGAGGTTCTATTGTAATGAACGAACCTTCAGATGGGGATAACCAGAATTACAGAGTGTCTTCAATAAATTATAAAAACCATATATGGAATACTTCATTTGCATATCTTCCATGATTCTTCCAATTCTTAATTTCTTTATATTCCCCTTTCTATTCTATTCAGTCCAATCTTCTTAACTTTCTTTTGATAGGTATCTCACTTGTGATCAGTGCTACATACTACATACATCTGTCGACAGATATAAGTAGCATATACCATAATATCAGGTAATTAATATTTCATGAGTTAGTGATTTATTTGGTATGAGAGATCATTCATTCGTCCTAATACTGATTAATGATCAGAGTAGAAGCAAGGAATACAATGAACAGCTTAAAATCAATTAGACATGGCTGTCTACTCTCTCCATTCATTTTTCTTCTGGTAGTCAACCGTATTATGAAGACCTCGACATCTGAGTGGGAGCACGAAATACAAAGGAGAGCATGCATGCAACTAGATAATTTGCATTTGACAAATGACCTAGCCATTCTATCAAATACACATGAACAAATGCAGATGAAGGCAACTGGTGTAACAGCAGCTTCTGCAGCAGTAGGCCTAAACAAACACAAGGGCAAAACCAAAATCATCAAATACAACAGAAAGAACGTCAATCCAATCACACTTGATGGAGAATCTCTGGAATATGTGGAATTCTTCATGTACCTGGAAGTATCATCAATGAACAAAGTGGACTCGATGCAGACGTAAAAACTAGGATTGGCAAAGCACGAACAGTATTCCTACAGTTGAAGAACATATGGTGCTCGAAACAACTATCAACTAATAGTAAATTAACAATCTTCAATACGAACGTCAACACTGTTCCATTGTACCGAACTGAAACTTGGAGAACTACTACAAACATCATCAAAAATGTAGAAGTATTTATGAAGAATTATCTGCACAAGATACTCAATATCCATTAACCGGATACCTTCAGCAACGGACACCTGTGAGATAGAATGAATCAGCCTCCAGATGAAAAGGAAATTCGGAAAATACGTTGGAAGTGGATAGAATATACATTACGGAAATCGCCAAACTGCATTACAAGACAAACCCTAACTTGGAATCATGAAGAGAAACAGAAAAGAGGACAATTTAACTTCGTGTATTCAGAATTCTATTAAAGACTGCTAACCCTCATAGATTGATGCTGGGGAATCTAACCTCAGCTTATGAACTATAATATCTATGGATTAGTTGAACATCAACTATCAATTTTAACAGTAAGTCAGTCAGTCAGCTACAATCTAGGACCAGGCACATATATGCATCGGTCCAAGTGACCATACCTCATTTGCACAAAAAGGTGGACACCGAATTCATAGAAGTAGTTATTTCAATTATAGTAAAATATCAAACAAAGAAGAATTCAGGAAGAAAGAACTAGTTGGTAGAAAGAAAGATATGGAGCTATTTTAATCCCATAGTTTAAAGGAAGACAAAGAGTGTATACACCGACGACATTATGATCGATTCTGAGCCATGCCACACAGTCTCCGACTATTGGTTACTGCAGTCACGCCGACCCCAACCAAGTAGTCCGCATCTACCAGCATGGCTCAAACCAGAAGTTAGTGACTTCAATGACTAATGCCACTTTTCGGTTTGGCCACCCCTAACTTTCTTCCAACAATCACCAACACTAGTCACCATTGCGCTTCGTGGTAATCGGTGTTCAGGCATACGTAACACGTGATCCAATCATCTCAGTCGATGAAGATTTACAACTTCATCAACTGATTCACCATCATTCTCTAACACCCTGCGTCTAACCTCACTATTACCTACCTGGTGATTCCAGCAGATGCGAGCGATATTTTTAATGCATATGTGGTTAAATACTAATAGCTTACGAATGAATAGTTTGATGTTACTTTTGATGTTAATTTGTCATTATGAATCAATTGAAATAATAAATGATTCCTTAAAAAAAACCATTGAAAAGGTAATTTGAGTTTAATTCGGTATAGTTCTGATGTGAAACGTTAACTAATCATGATAACAGTAGTGAATGAGGACATTGAAAAAAAAACACAATAAGTACTGAAATATAGTCAAGTTTATTAAAACCTTCATCAGTTTCATACTTGCATTCCAAATAGTTGGAAGCCTTTATTCAAACCTTTTATTCAAACAACTCCTAGTCCTGGTACGGTCGAGGGTGGGGAGAGTTAGCTATTCATCTCCAAATGCTCTTACGTGGCCATGAGTATACAACAACTGTCAGGGAAGTCCTAGTTACTACCTTCTTGCGGTATCATTGTTGTTTACGAAATTGAAAGGACGAAAAGCGAATGTATGGCACTTTAACTAGGTTGATGGACGCTGAAGGTCCACCTAGGTAAGTTGGAAAGCCCTATTTCCAAATCAATGGTGCAGATGGACTGCAGGATCCTGAAGGAACAAATGGAGCATGAACAAATTATTGTTCACCGAGAAACTGCATCTCTTTACGTTGCTCCGCTGTCTTGTAGATTAGATTAAGTTGAAGGCTCCGAGTGTGACCCCCCTAAGGATACCACCTGTTTTAGTCTGAGCACCGAGACAGTATCCCAGCCCACACACAAATCAAGTGACTTGTATTGCGCATATATATTCGGTGCCCCTTTGCATCAATATTTGTGTCCAAATAAATAAATAAATCAAATCATTGTTCCTAAGTGGTCCTTCAGAATACCATACCCCATTGTGAAAATATTCCATTCATACTAAATGATTTGACAAACGCTAGTCAACTGAGGATAATGTACATCTCTTCCACTGGAAAAAAGCCTGAATAAACTCAATATGATTAAGAGCAATGTGCAATGTTCTGCCGATCATAACGATGTGTTTCAGTACTATAATGAAAATAAATGAAGAGGAATATCTAATCAAGAGGATTGTAAATTAATTGATCATCTAGCAGAAGTACAACACAATTCGTTCAGATCGTAGAAATAATTGAATTCATGAGTCAATTAAAACTAAACCTACATGAAAGACCTGAAAGCACTGGATGACAGTTTTGTCCTAGCATGAAATTCTTTAGCACTCCCAATCCCGCAACAAAGGGACTCAAACCCAGAACATTCGGTCTTGTACAAACGCTTAAACTCTAGACCACTTAGCTGGTATCCAAAGGTGTTAATATCTAACTCCCATCAATCATCGATCTTGCGCAACCTTTCATCCTTCATCTGATGTAAATGCCTGTCTCGCACCCAACACAAAGTGGACACCACTGATCACGGCTTCTCATGAGAACTCTGAGAAATCCATCTTTGAGCTAGTCAACGCATGAAAGGTTGCACAAGATCATGGACCGATTGAATTTAGACATTAACACTGTTGGATGCCTGCCTAATTGTCCAGAGGTTAAACGGTCGCTTACGAGATCGAAGGTCTTGGGCACTAAGATTGTTATTACTTCTTAATGACGATCAGCGCAAAATCATATACACAATTGATTGATCACTGGGTGGTGATCAATGTCTTATGTGTCAGGTCGTTCTTAGTACAAATCGAATACTATCAAACAAGTTGTAATGTGACCATTGGTCTAGGTGACTCAACGTTGCTTGCACTATGTTGAGATAAGACTATGATTGAAGTTAGTCAACAGGAAACCCTTTACATAGGTTTCGTGCTACTTGGCACTTGCCAGTAAGGTGTACCTGTAATCTTGAAGGAGCTGACGCTCCCTAACGAATTCGATCCCGTATCACTCAGCAAAATCACATAGTTACTTAAGAAAATATAAAAATATTGTACATTATATACATCATTTACACATCTTAGTATCGATTATCCTTTATATATACATCATTATTCCTTTGATTCTGTCATTATACTACTTATGTCTATCCATATAAGTAGCATACACTACACTTATTTCTTGTCATAATAAAGTTATCGGAAAACTTTGTCACACCGATAAATTTATATCTTAATATTCAATTCTTCTGATGGTCGACTAGATGAATGAAGACTTTGAACATACTGTATACCGTGTATGATCTGGTTATAAAATTAACATATTTTAAACATTAAATTAATTGATTAAAAGATTTATATCACTTATTATAGTCTCCATGGCACCAATGTAAATTGTTCACCCACCCGGTGGGGGGAGGGGGAAGGGGACGGGAGTCATTTAAATTGTTCGTAGTTTTAAAAAAAAACCAGTTATTATTATTCAATGTATTTCATGTAGGTATTGGGAAAAAAAATCAAATTATATACGGTGGGAGAGAACAAACTAGATTTCAGAGGAGGAACAAAATCAGGAATAAGCGTTGAATGTGGATAAGACACATAATTTGAGGAAAACATCGAACTGTGTCACAAGAAAAGTTCTCATCACTTGGATTCTTCAAGGACAAAGGAGACAAGGAAGATCAAAGAAGAACACATTACACTGAAATATGGAGACAGATATGAGAAAAATGAACAGCAATTGGATAGAACTAGAAAGGAAGGTTCAGGACAGAGTGAGTGGATTGGAGAATGCTAGTCGGTGGCCTATTCTCGATTGAGAGTAACAGGCGTATGTATGTAAGTAAAGTAATTTATAGACGTTTATTTAAACGACGAGTTATGTAAATATATAAGGATTATTGCATATACTTGTATCAGTTATTGATTGTTCAAAGTTACGAGATGATGGTCTTGAATATTTGTACACATACAAATGATCCGATCAGTTAAACAACTTAATTGTAGAACGGCTTGAAAACAATGTGATAAATTCATTCATCGGTGTTCATCCTATTACACAAGTTAGTGACTCTCTGAACTTAATAGCTAAGTGCATAACATGATAGTGTTTTCAGGTGAATGGTATTGAGTTGAAATCACGGAGTGAATGTTAA